ATTGATCTGTGTTATTATTTTCATAAGACAAGTGTGGGCATTATTTATGTCCCCAATATAAATTCTCAAACTGTAATAACTAGTATTAGTGATTTTAGCAAAACATCATATAACATGATATAAAAGAATAAGAAAAGGCAATAAAAATTAATAAGTGGTTCTAGCAAATGAACCCACAGTCCTTTCAAAGGCTGGAAGGTCTGCAGGAAGTGGCTGTATAATTTAGATCTGTGACACTGTCCTTGAGAAAAATCCACTTCGATTTCACAATAATATATATTATTAAGTATTTTTACCTTATTGTACTTTCCTAAGGAATCTTAAATTCCTAGAAAGAAAAATAGTACGGAAAATTTATTAAGCATCTATTCCATGTCAGGCACTTACAAAAAAGATGTATTTATTTTTATTCTAAAGTCAGATATACAGAGAGGAGGAGAGACAGAGAGAAAGATCTTCCATCCAATGATTCACTCCCCAAGTGACTGCAACAGTCAGAGCTGCGCGGATTCAAAACCAGGAACCCGGAGCTTCTTCCAGGTATCCCATGCAGGTACAGGGTCCCAAGGCTTTGGGCTGTTCTCGACTGCCTTCCCAGGCCACATGCAGCAAGCTGAATGGGAAGTGGGGCTGCCAGGATTAGTCCCATATAGGATACCTGCATGTTCAAGGTGAGGAGTTTAGCTGCTAGGCCACCAAACCCAGCCAGATGTTGGGCACTTGGACCTGCAATATTGCAAGCATGCTCAATGGGCACTCATTTTTTTTTTCAGAGAAAGAAACAATTTCTGCAAAGCTAAGTAACTTGCCCAAGGCCAAGGCTTGAACCCATGTGCAGTTGTCTCTCCAAACAGTTTCACTTTAACACAAAATCTATTACATCCTATGGACTGTGAGGGACTTCAGGGCGACCAGACAGAGTTAGTTGCTCAAGCATGCAATCTGCTGTTCTGTGTTCTTCCAAAGCATGCAGGATATTGCTCACTGCGATGTTTATTTCTCAGTCTCCTACATCTTCATAGAATCCTGAAAGGGCAAAAATCTTTCCTGCGTTGAGGTTACATAGAGTCAGACTGGATGATAGCAACAGGCACACAATTGCCACTGAGAGGATGAGTTACTGTGATGAAAAGAAAAGCAAACATCACAAAAATACACCTTTGCTGGGACATCACTGGGAAGGAAGATGGGCCACTGATGGTGACCTGAGCCCACTCACTGCAGCCTGTCCCCACTTCCCCATCAGTGAAGAGTCCTAGGCGAGGCAGCCATTAGAACAGGTCATCAGATCCAACCGAGCGAGCTCGTGCAAGCCTCCGGATTGTCCAGTGGTATATTTGTGTAAATTCTTGTAGGATAACAAATGCTGGCCTGCCCAAAGCCACAAGATAGTTGTTAGGACAAGACGAGGAAGTACATTCAAAGGCATTTAATTTTAGAAAAAACAAATGCCATGTACAATTTTAAGTGCTATATAAAAATAATACAGAACACTCAGACCCATGAATTTACTAAAAGGCTATATATCTTTAAGGATCTTGGCTGCAGGGTAACTCACATAAAAAATTTGATCTGAAATATGAAGAAGATTCCAAATTAAGGTGCTGTCATAAGGAAAAGAAAGGAAAAGAGGTGTGTTTCACAATGAGTAGGCATACTGATTAAAAACAGAAAGAAGAGACTGGATATTTGGCCTCACTGTGAAGATCTACGAAAGACACTGTCACCCAAAACTGGAGTGCCTGGGTTCAACTCCTAGCTGCAGCCCCTGGAGGCCAGCTTCCTGTCTGTAGATCCTCGGTCCCTGCCACTCATAGAGACACGGATTGCATTCTCGTTTCCTGGCTCTGGTCTCGGCTCAATCCTAATTATCTCCTGCATTTGGGAAGTAACCAGGGAACTGTGGTTACAAGATCTGTGCATTGATCTGTCCTAAAGCCCCTCAAATAAATACTTCTAAAAAGACATCAACAAGTCCACCTTACAAACAAAAGGAACATCTCATTCTGTGCCCAGAGGGTGGCATTAGTTAAGTTACAAGACACAGAAAGGGTGGGCATGTCTGCCTCAGGTGGAAGGTCAGAGGCAAGGGCAGGAGCTATGTCCTGTGCAACTAATATTGTCTAGAAAGACTCATACCTTACACTGAGAAAAATGATCAGCTCGGGCTGCCGGATTTTCAGACTTCAAAAAAAGTTTCAAAAACCTTTCCACTTCCCCAACCACTCCATCATAGTGTAAGGCATGCTTCAGCTAAGCCTAATTTAAGAAAAATATTAAGCAATTCTAATGTAGCTAATAGTGTTCTAGAAGTCACAAGAGACTCATAAGCATACGGTGAGTTCAGCTGGGAATATATACATAATTAGAGAAAAATAAAAAACTGTGCTGTTTCAATTATTTACTGCCCAATGAGAATTCCCCGCTTTTCTCTCGGACTTTAAAAAGAAGCAAATACAATAGTATTAACTACCTGTCTTAAAATTGATCAAGAATTTTGCAGACATTTTCAACTGAATGCAAGGTTGACTTTTTAGTGCATATCCTATACTGAAAAAAAAAATTTGTTTCTTTTTGTTGGAAAGGCAGATTTACAGAGGAGAGACAAAGATCTACCACACACTTGTTCACTCCCCAAATGGTTTCAACAGCCAGAGCCAAGCCAATGTGAAGCCAGGATCTAGGAGCTTCTTCTGAATCTCCCCACACAGGTGCAGGGTCCCAGGCATTGGGGCATTCCTGATAAATCTTCATGCCATTAGCAGGGAGGCGGATCAGAAGTGGAAGCTGGGACACTAACCTGAGGCCAGATTGGATGCTGGTACCACAGCTGGCAGCTTTATCCACTATATCCACCGCAGTTCAGTGCTGGCTCTGGCACCGGGCATTTTCTACTTGATTCAACATGGGAAATGTATGAATGCAGGCGTGTTGAGATGTGTATGGATTAACCGAACCCTAATCCCAAAACAGGCTCATTCAAAATGAGCAAAACAGCACCTGTGATTTACATGACTATGCTTTCAATGATATGAGATAGAATAACAACAACAAAAAAATGCAGTTTTAAATGACTGGCATTATATAAAAATGTGCTGGCATTATATTAAAAAAAAATGTGTTTTTAAGACAACTCTGAAAGACAGAGGGTGTAAATTACCCTGGCTTTGGTGAACTTTTTTTAGTATTAGAGATTGTTAATTCAAAATTCCTTGGAATGTTCATATACATTATCATTAAGTACAAAAGCACAATGTGCTTTTTTCTATAGAACAGATTTTTAAGTGTGGTCCAATTGTATTTGTGACTCCTGTCTTTAGCACGCCCCAGCCCTGGCTGTTGCAGCCTTTTGGGGGATGAAGCAATGGTTGGAACATTGGCCCCTCTCTCTCTTTCCATCTGTATCTCTGTCACTCTGCTTTTCAATAAATAATATTAGAGATTAAGTGGTAATACGTGTCAATAAATAAACTACTATAAATGGAACTTCCAACTGCTTAGTTGTGTCACCAATTCATAATCAGAGTGAAATACCTAAAAAGTACACCTATACTGCCTAGAGAAAATTATGAATCTGTTACATGAAAGATTTCTCTTGGAGGTAAGTCAATACTATGGTCAATATTTTACATATTTCCAATATTTTAGAAAGATACTTGAATTGCAGAGACAGAGAGACTCAGACACCGAGAGAGCGAGAGATCCTCCATCTGTTAGTTCACTTTACAAATGAACACAGCAGCCAGCGATGGGCCAGGCAGAAGCCAGGACCTGGCAACTCAGTCCAGGTCTCCTATGGCAGTGGCATACCCTAACCACTTGAGCCAGTATTTACTGTCTCCTGTGGCATAGAAGAATCCTGGAATTCAGATCAGACCCTCTGATCAGGGCTGTGGGTATCCCCAGCAGCATCTTAACTGCTGAAATAAACACTCATCCCAGTATTTCATTTTTAATAAACTAACTATCCAGATTAAATGCCTATCTGTGTAGTGTGGTGAATTTCAATCTACTTGCATCAGATGAAAAGTTATCATGAACAAAGCATTCAGTGTGACTTCGGAGAGAAGATGCATTTATCAAACCCTTGGACCAACACATGCAAACAGTTTTGTGTAGGGACATCTGTACTCTATGAAACTATTTTGGAAGATGGGTAGCTCCTGCCAGGAACAGAGCAAACTGTTTTTGAAAGTGATCCCCCTCCTTCCTATTTCTTAGTCATGAAAGAATAATTGCCATAGATTTGCTCCAAAAAAGTAACACCAAGTGAACAGTCCAGTTGTATTAAAAATTGGCCGCCCAAAAAGAAGAGACAAGCAGCAGTGAATACAGAAAGGATTCCTGTTGGTATTGAGTCAGAATAATTTTGCAAATGGTCTACCCAACCTAATTCAACATCTCATGGAAAAAATTCACCACTCACATCTTGAGGATAAACAGCTCAGGGCCATCCTCTACTGCTTTGCCAGGAACAAGCAGGGAGCTGGGTAGGAAATGGAGCAGCCAGGACACAAATTGTCATCCTTGTCAGGTAAGGATTTAGTCAATCGAGTCATTCACCAGGCTCAAGAATTTTGTTTTTTGAAGTATATTGTTGACAGCTGTATCGAAATGTTACAAAAACTTAGGCATTAAGGTTTGAATAATAATTAAAAATAACATGGGTCCAAAGTTCAGCAGGGCAATTAGGATCTGGTTAAATGTATGCCACGGCTGAGAGTCTGCCTTGATCCCTGGCTCTGGTTCCTGAAAGCAGCTCCCTGCTAACGCAGACCCGGGATGGCAGTGGTGCTAGCTCAACGTGGTTGGGTCCCTGCAGCTCAATGGAATACCTGCACTGACGTCCCAGCTCCCACTTTCAGCCTCATCCAGTCCTAGCTGTGTGGGAATCTGGGGAGCAAACCAGTGGGTGGGAACTACCCCTCTCTTTCTCTTTGCTTTCTGTCTCCATCTCTTCAAAACAAAACAAAACAACCTGGGAAAAAATGACATTAGCCTTTTAACAGTAGACTATTCCATTATTTTATTTCTGTTAATTATAGGAATATTTTCTCAGTAAATTCAAACAATTAATTTGGTAATATTGAATGATAAACTAAAGACAGGTCAGAAAAAGTTCACACACAGCACTGTCCTGACAGATCGGGGGAGAAAGTGGTGGCTGTAACTTGGCCTATCTTTTTAATCAAACAAAGTTGAGATAAGCAAATTTTGGATAGAAAAACTGTTCTTGTTTATTCCATATTTCAAATGTAAAAGTACATTCATAGAGAAAAATCTCATTTTTTCGGAATTAACTAGATGCTATTACAGAATTCTGCCTGTGGAGAGTTGAGTGTAACCAGGCCAAGTGACAGAAGTTTAAGAAGAAATCAGCTTTCCGTGTGAAAAAAACTCCATGGCCACATGACCCTGTATGATTATGATGAGTTAAGCAAAAACCAACAACAACAACAAAGCATAATGTGATAGTTTTTCAGTTTCTTATTTGGCACATATATTAATTTTTCAAACATGGAACACTGTAACATCAGTATTTACTAAAACCAGCTAGGACAAATGATACAATTACTAAAGCTTCATTATTAACATCTTAAAAACCTGATTCCCACAGACGCTCTGTAAGTGAACACTGCCTCTGTGCTGTGAGAGCTGGGTGAAGCACCTTCTTTTCCAGAACTCCCCGGAAGTCGTGACCGTCTCGAGCTGACTGCCGCTGCAGTGCACAGTGCCTCTCAGTCAGGTGGCTCTTCTGCATGGGCCCTCACTTGTCAAAAGTCATGCGTACACTCATCACAATTTTGAAAAGAATGGAAGGCCTTCATACATGTCAGTTTTTAATTTGATCCAATCGTTGATTTTCTGCAGGGTTGTTTTTTCTTGACTCAGGATTTTTGCAACTTTTTTCATTTTGTGCTCATTTCTTTCTATGTACTTGGAGCCTTCCAGCTGCAACTGATCCAGTTTTTCATTTCGACTTTCGTCCAGAGGTATGTTCTCACACATGACAGGATTGAATCTGAAGTAGGTGTCAGGAGGCAACAGACCATCCAGCATTATATGGACCTCTGGGGTAAGAAAAGCAGGCACGGGAGGAGTTGTTATGTAATGACGTATCTTCTAAACCATGCTTTTAAACTTGCTTTACCACTCACATTAACAACAGAAGGAATTCCCGCTAATGAGGAGCAATACAGAGTCATCTTCCCAAACGCTTCCCGTTGTTCTAAATTATGATACTTGCTCCAGTATTCTCATCTGTTTGTGCTTTTCGGCATATTGTTCACCACAGCTGAAATACCTTTCAGAGCTTTCTTTTTAAAAATATTTTGGTATTACTTTATTGAGATATAATTTACATACAAAAAAGTTCACCATTAAGAATATTTATTTATTTGAATGGCAGAGTTACAGAGAGAGCGAGAGAGAGAGAGAGAGAGATCTTCCACCTGCTGGTTCACTTCATGGTGACCTCTCAGCCAGGGTTGGGACAGGTGGAAGCCAGGGGCCCGGGACCGCATGCGGGTCTCCCCCATGTGCCTGTGAGTCACCATCTGGATGGGCAGCAGGGCAGCAGGAAGTTGCATGGGCACCTATATGTGATGCTGGCATCGTAGACTGCTGCTTGCCTCACTACACCATTATGCTAGCCCCCCAAATTCACCAATTTTAACTGTGCAGTCTGACACTTTTTGACAAATGCATACATTTCTATAACCAAAACAACAATAAAAGAAAGCGACTAAAACAGGAAAACTTGAAAATTTTGCCAGAGACTCTTAAGTTGGAGACGAGGAAAGGCAACAAAAGCTTCGGGCTGTCCTTGACCGCTTTCCCGGCCACAAGCTGGGAGCTGAATGAGAAGTGGAGCAGCCAAGATACAACTGGTGCCCACATGGGATCCTGGCGCATGCGAGGTGATGATCTAGCCACTGAGCTATCGTGCCAGGCCCTTGGACACTTTTTCAGTGGTAAGGAGACAAAGACAGTGTGAGCTCCAAGAGGGTCTTTTAACAAGAGACAGGTGGTAAAGAAGGAAAGCTACAAAGTCCTTGCTTCCACATGCTTTGGAAGCCCACAATGTACCTCTCCTACAGTGAGGATTACGATATTTTACAGAATGCTAGAAGTAAGGAAACAGACTGACCTTCTGTGTCGGTAGCACTGTTGATGACATTAGAAAGTTTAGTTTTCAGGCTTGTGTACGTTGCAGTGTTCCTCACATCGCTCTCGTAGCGGCCAGTGCCCAGGGAAACAATGCACTCCAGCGGGACGTCCGGCCAAAGGCACTTACACTCGTGCATTGCCAATGCCGAAGGGTTATTCAGAAGCAAACCTCCATCCTGCCAAGTGTAAAGCAGTAGAAAAGAAGTCTCCAAAGCTGCATTTTATACGTGTGAAAATAAACACTATATTTTCAAACAGTCTGACATTTACTTATAGGGAAAACTGAACTATGGAATAAGAAGTTACTTTGAAATAAATACTTCTTATATAATAGCAACATTGAAACAAAATGGTGAGAAAAGTCATTGCCCAGGGCCAAAGGTGTGATGCTATCACCCCATCCTGGAGCACCGGGTTCATTCCTGGCCACTCTGATTCCCATGCAGCTCCGTGCTGAGGTTTGTGGGAAGGCAGTGGGTGCTGGACTGAGTGCTGTTCTGCTGGGAGGCCTGGGTGAGCACCTGGCTCCTGAATACAGCCTGCCTCACCTCTGCCTTCTGCAGACATCGAGGCTGTAAACCGGTAGAAGGAAATTTCTTTCTGTTTATCTCTGCCTTTCCAATAAGTCATTCTTAAAAATATTACATCTAACAAAAGAGCCGGGATTCCAGCAAGCAAATTAGTGCTTTCCAAATTAATTGTTTCCTTACGTGACAAACATAACCAAATTAACTCTGAACTGAGAGACTTTTTAAAAAAAGATTATACTGCAAACTTTTTTTGGTCTATAGTTTTGTAAATTTTAATGTGGATGGAGATTTGTGTTTCTATCAGGATACAGAACAGTTCCATAAGCCATGGCCTCTCTTTGCTAGGCACACCTTCCAACTGCTCATGCTCAGAGGAATGGAATACAGCACGGCGCCTTTGAGACTGGCCTGTCATATTTAACACGTCATCAAGGTAATCCACACGGCTGCATGTTTCAATAGTTTGCTCCTATACACTTGTTCATCTGGCTGTTGGCTCTCTATGTTTGTGCCACACTGTGGTGATTAGTGTGCCTTTTGATAACTTTAAAATTGCAAAGTGTCATTTCTCCAATCTTATTTTTTTTTTTTGCTATTTCTATTCCTCTGCATTTCTGTGTGAGCTCTACGTCATCATACAACTAAAAATTCTACTAGACTTTTATTGCCACTATATTTACATGTTTTCTCTGATAGATGCTTGAGTCATAGTATACTTATTTAGGTATTTTTCTGTTTCTTTCATTAGCATTTTATTGTTTTTGCCATATAGACTGTATCTGTTTTGTCAAACATCTTATACCAAAATATTCAATATTGTGGAGCTGTTATAAGTAGTTTTTTCTTCCTTTTTTAATTTCCAACTAGTCACTTCTTCAGAGAAACACATTTGCTTCTCTCAACACGTCTCCTTTGGTTGTGGAGCGGTATCTATCCTACATTAAAGGTCAATATTAACTGCTCTCTGGCTTGACGGCTCCATTACAAATACACAAGATTGTTATTTAACTTCATGGTGGTGTAAATTTCTATTTTTCTTCCTGTTGATTTTTTATCGTGGCTTTTCATTTAAGGGGATGTATAGTAACTGCGTAATGAAGACTATCATGTCCAGACGTGAGGATACAATGCAGTATGCATTCTACTTCCAGATCAAAGATGAACTCTCACTGATACTATTAACTATATCTTGAAATTGGATGCTGGACAATAGGATGCCACTGTCCATGCCCACAACAATGGACTTGCGACTGTGTATGAAGAACTGAACTATAGTAATAACATAGGGGAACTCGGTGGGGGAGGGGGAAGGGATCTGGGGAAGGAGTGAGGGAAATCCCAGGGCCTATAGAATTGTATTATAAAATGATAATGATAATTTAAAAATTGAAAAACGAAAAAATATGTAGGATTTTGTTCTACTAATGAAACACTCTATTGTTACTAATCATGAAATGTGAAGGAGAAACACCCCATACCTTTTTGTAAACCTATGCTCATTTATTTTTAGGCAGAGTGCAGTATTTATTGTATAAAATCGTAGATGATGGTGACTCTTTAGTAATACATTCATGACAAAATAACTTTCACACACACACACAAAACCCCTCTCAAATATTATCATCAGATCAGCGAGGTCCTGCCAGAAGGCACATAGAAATGTTCCAACACATTAACCTCGCTTCCTAGTGGAAGTTAATCGGCTGTTTAGTTAGGGAATGGCTGGTCTGAGGCTAAGGGATGTTTATTATCGCCTACGTCATCGTCACGTGCAGCTTCCCACTGCCTTTGGGTCAGCAAGGACTCGCAGGGCTAGGCTGACTTTCAGAAGAGCAAGTGGTCACGTCCTTTTGTGGTTTATTCCATTCTCCACTTAGGATGAGCTGCTGGATGCCACTCCCTGAGCTGCTACCCCCAACCTCTCTCTAACTACATGTCTTGAGGAGAATGTTTGGTTTCCCACTGTGATTTCATGAGGAAATGTTATCATTTTGAAAGTTGTTGCCTGTCATAATCTCCCCAATATGTCAGGGCCTTGGCTCTTTCTGTTACATGGCATTGTGACTGAGATGTGCCTGAGTAGGCACAAGTTTCCTTTATTGCCCAAGGATGATCTGTGTCCAGTCCAGGTGTGAGGTGGGGGAAGAAAAAGGACTGATCTCGTTTCCATTGGACCTGCAGCAGCTGTCCCACAAGCAGCAGTGCCTCTTGGCTGGTCCAGGGAGAAGACAGTGTGTGAAGGGCAGAATGAGCGCAGCGGGCTTCCTAGGCAGTATGCTTAGCTTCATTACAGTCAATACAACAAATTCCAGGATCTGTCTTGGAAAATTAAATATTGCTTGTCTCAAAGCTGCATGTCCAAGACTACGCACCAAAGGTCAGAATCCGCGACTGCACAAGTTAAGAACATGAAAGCAGGCTTTCTCTGATCCCAGGCAGACGGCTTCAGCTCACCCACTAAGAATCTAATGGGCCAGAAAGTCCAGCTTGAAGCGACTGCAGGTTTCAGGGAGTGTAATCCTTGAGCGTGCCAAGCTTGAGGCAGATGAACTGAGACTCTCCACTGCAACTGATCTTTTGGTCACTGGGTCTACTTTTCTCAAAGAACTAGGACAGGCTAAGTTCACATGTCACACCAAGTTCTACAGTGCCTTCATTCTCACAATTGCATTCACTTCTCTGTGATCCCCTGACCTCTATTATTACCCCATATCCTAAAACCCTGCTCCATTGGGCTCAGTGAAAATGTTCCACTATTAACACTACCAGTGTCAGGGGTAACATGGTGGCACAGTGAGCCCAGCATTCCACAGGGATGCACGAATGCTCCACCTCTGATCCAGGTCCCTGCTAACGGCTGGGAGAAACAGTGTAAGATGGCCCAAATGCTTTGGTCCCTGCCACCTATGCAGGAGACCATGATGAAACTCCTGGCTCCTGGCTTTGGCCTGGCCCAGTCCTAGCCACTGCAACCACCTGAGAAATAAGGGCTGGAAGATGTCTCTCCTGCTCTCTCTTTCTCTCTCAGTATAACTCTTTCAAATAAATAAATACATGTTTAGAAAAAAAAATAAACTCTTGGTATCATTTCACTTTCTCCTGAAACTGCTTTCTTCCTCTGACTTAACAGACCCATGTCTTTTCCCTGAAAGCACCTCCCATGTACTTGTTGAGTCTTTCATTATCTAGCCTTTATTGCTTCTAAAACTTTACCTACTTCTCATCAAGGAAATGCAGCAGTTAAGGTCTGGGGCCAGTGATCCATGTGCTCCTGTCCGACGTTCCCTGTGAGCAGGTGGCCAGGCCAATGTTACACCTACCACATGTCTTGTGGCCTTTCCATTCACATATTCATATTTACAAATATCCAACTATTATGAATTTGGCTACCAGATAATAAGCACTGGTCAAGGTTAATGCCTCCCATTTTAAAAAATATTTATTTTATTAATTTCAAAGGCAAAGTTAGAGAAAGAAATGGAAGGATAAGAAGAAGAAGAGACACGGACAAAGAACGCTTCCACCTGCTAGTTCACTCCTCAAAGGGCTGCACTGGCCGGGGCTGGACCAAGCCAAAGCCAAGGACTTGGCCAGGATTCCCACATGGCGATAAGAGCCCAAGCACCTGAGCTGTCCCCTCCTGCCTTCCCAGGGCAGGAGCTGGATCAGAGGTGAAATAACTGGGACTTGAACTGGAAGCCTTATAGGATGCTGGTGTTTTAGGCAGCAGCTGAACCTACTATACTACAACGGCCCCAGCTTCTTGTTTTCTTTAATTATTAAAAAAATTTTTTTAGCATATCTGCTATTGAATTTCTCATCTCATTCTATGACTGTGTTTATATTCTTACAGCCTGGGCTATTTACGGGGAGGAATCAGGAAGGACCAGCAACATACCAGCTATTACTGAAAGCTGTTATAGTCTTCATGGCTAGCATAGTACCTGGAACTATTTACATACCTGCTGCACTCCTAACCAGTTATAATAAAAATGACTAGCTGTGGCTTAGCACAAGTATAATTTGGCAGGTGAGAGGTGTTCTTTCTGCTGAAAATTCTCATTACCTAGAATATTTGCATGCTATTTCATAATTATTTTTTGATTGCTTTCTAACTTCTGGAAATAATCTTTTAAAATGTAACCAAAGCCTAAGAAGAGTAATATGTTAGAATTAGTCATCAAACCTTTAGTGCAAAGTAATGTGTTGGATTCTTTTGAATTCTCAGATGACAGGGAACAAACACTCTTGAAAGTAGATATGGAAAAAGACAAAAAGTTAATTGTGTACAAAACTGCTATTTTCAGATAAAAACAATGCTGCTATGTGGTAGGGAGGAGGAATGGAAGCTGATCAGAATTATTCTTGCTTTACAATTTCCTGGGACTACATGTCCTAAGTATGTTACCTACACACTTTGTAAACACTGTGACAATACTCTGTTGAATGAAATCGCCCCATCCATCTACTCATTAACCTATAACTTATATTCTACCTGATGCCAGAGAGAATGTGAAGTAAATTACAGTAAACATAAGTCAGACACTACAATTAAGAGGGATTTGAAAAATGAGACTGGAAATATTGAATACAATTATTTCAAACAGCTTAGGATGAGTAAGTTGTAGTACATAAAGTATTTTAGTTTTTACGGTTTATTTATTTTAGAGTTAGAGAGAGAGGACAGTGAGAGAGGTTTTCCCTTTGCTGCTTTACTCTTCAAGTGGTCCCAATGGCTAGGACTGAGACAGTCAAAGACAGGAGCCAGGGGCTTCACCCTGGTCTCCCACCTGGATATCAAGGGCTCACATGTTTGGGTCATCCCATGCTGCTTTCCCCAGGCCATTAGCAGGGAGGTGGCCTGGAACTGGAGCAGTTAGCATAGGAAATGGCACCCCATGTGGGATGCTGGCATCACATGTGGCAGTTTTACCCACCACACTGCTACGCCAGCCTTCACATTTTAGTTTTAACTTTGGGTTGCTATATGTAATCAATAGGCTGAATTAAACTTTAGAATTACTTACCCCAGATAAAGGAATATATGGATCCTAAATGTAGCTAGTTACTGCTTAAAACTTTCTGACTATTATTAGGCATAGCTTGCAAGGTCATAGGATTCCGGCTACCTTGAAGTAGTAACTGATAAACTCTACTGAGTTTTAGATACACTGTCTAAGTTATTTCTCCATTTATAACACAGTAAGTTTAAAAAAAAAAAAAAGAATGGGCAAATAGCCTTTATAATGGCAAGCTAAATACTAAAATAAAAATTTAATCTTGACCTATAAAGATTGAAATCAATGAAAGAAAGAAACTTAACAGCCAATGCTGTCTGCCCTGAGGGGGTGGAAGAAAAGAGAAATGCAAGAAGGGGACATGCCTTACATAATTCCACAGTGACAGATTTGACAAAGTAAGAAATAGTCTGACCTCACTCCAAAGACAAAAGGAATGCTATTTTAATCCCTGAACTACAAAGAGTATGACGTTATGTTCAGAAACAGAAAATGGGATAACTTACTGTGATATGTTACAACAGAACAGGTAGTTCATCAAAACATAGGGGAAATAAATTGATAAAAAATATTTTAGTCCTTGACACATGTAAATTAAAATTGCTCATTAAAGAGTTTGGAAATTTATATAGCATATTAGTATAGTTAACATAGAAAAGTAATGCATGAGTTTTGAATCCTACATGAAATTTCTTGTCAATAGTATTAGATTTTTCTTAATATCTGAAGACTAAATAAATGGAAGGTAAGCATACTTCCACTACTAGAGAATGAAGTTAGGGTTACTCAGTCTATCAAATGAGACTGGGCTGAGATGGGATATCAAATAAAAAATATCTATTTTGGAAGTATCAACTCAAAATATTTACTGACCTTAGTTTTTACTTATTTATTTATTTTATTGGAAAGTCAGATATACAGAGAGGAGAGACAGAGAGGAAGATAGTCTGTCCATTGATTCACTCCCCAAGTGACCACAAAGGATGGAGCTGTGCCACTCCGAAGCCAGGAGCCAGGAATCAAGTAAGAGCTTCTTTCAGGTCTCCCATGCGGGTGCAGGATCCCAAGGCTTTGGGCCGTCCTTGACTGCTTTCCCAGGCCACAAGCAGGGAGCTGGATGGGAAGCGGGGCCACTGGGATTAGAACCGGCGACCATATGGGATTCTGGCGTGTGTGAGGCAAGGACCTTAGGTGCTAGGTTACCGCATCAGGCCCTACTGACTTTATTTTTACCATTCGATAAAAGTTAGACATTAAGATTTCCCCAAGTAATGTGTGTGATTTGGGGTGTAGGGGGGACAAACTGCCAAAGAAAAATTTTAAGTAAATGAGTCTAAACAACAGAAAAAGACCAAGTCACCAGACCATACACATACTTCAATCACATGAAAGCATCCCAAGATGCTTGAAAGCTGACTCCAGTCCAGTTATTCAGTCTTTCTGAAGATTCCAACTTCTTATTTGTAACCTGAATTCTGTACCTCCTTAGTAACTCCTTAGTAACGATGACTAAATGAGACAAAGCTTACAAAGTGTAACACATAACTAACCTAATGCATGTTTTCTCTTACTATTTCTTCTTCAAAACAGGTCTCCCCAAATTCTAAAGCACTCTGGGTTCTGCATTTTAGGAATGTGTTTCTATTTTGAAGTTTTTACTTATTCACTGTTTGAAAGGCAGAAGGAGAAAGACTGCCCATTTGCTGGCTAACTCCCCCAAATGCCTGCCATGCCCAAGTCAGGAACCAGCCACTCCATCTGGGTCTCCCACCTGGGCGGCAGATAAGCTACTGCTTCAGGTATTACCTATGTTTCTAAGGATGTGATTAGCAGTAAGCTGGAAACAGGTGCAGAGTCTCATTCCATTAAGACAAATACCAAAGTTTTGAGCTGCAAAACATGTCTGGCTGATCTCTCTGAAGGCAGTGACACCTGGTCAGGACAGGGTACAGGGGAAGCCACGCTGGCCCACTTACCTGATGCAGATCGTTTCCCAGGGCATATTCTGCAAAGTAGCCCGGGGCAGCGGAGGAGGCTCTGATGGCCTGCCACATCTTGTACTGACAGCCTCCCAAGTAATGAGACTTGATTCCAGGAAAATGACCATAGTTTCTGAACACAAAAGCTTTTGGTGTTATTCCTCTGTTTACAATGGTGCTCACGGCAGCTACCTGGTGAATTAAAAAGTGACCAGTATTGCAGTAAGCAGCAATGTCTGCAATCTATGAACATCAAAACCACTTGGCAGTATGAAGGAGCAATCTGTAACTCTACTGATCATGGTAAGTTCGTGACAGAAACAAAATGTCGAGCAAAAGGAACAGTATCTTTTTAAAACAGGTATTTCTTTGCAGTGCAATTCCTGCAAGCACTGGGAGTACAAGAAAGCAATAATAACAGATACATTTGACTGCACGAGTTAAGACGTTTCCAGACATTCAGGCAATAACTGACACAGCACTAGTGTCAATGACTAACTGCTTAAGGATGAGAAGAGATGCTCATTCCAAGGTGTCCAAACAAACTAGCCATTGTTTCTGTGTTCTCTGAAAGTGTGTGGACTTCCGTAAAGCCAAACTGCATCATTACGGAAACTCGTGGAACTTCCAGATCAGAGTTTTTAAAACCTGGCAGCTGGATGTTTATTTATAAACTACATTAATCATCCCAGGTGTCAGCTGGATGTATGTAAAATGTGCTGTTTCTGTTAATGATGTGAGATGCAAAGCTACGCAGCTGGAAGGTACTGATGAAGCACAAGTTGTCAGTGTCCTGTGCTAACCCCGGGAGACAATCTGCTTAGTGTTTAGCCTGTTCCAAATTCCCCAGAGTAAAAGTGTACTTCTGGGCCACTCGGGGCAAGAGTCAGCAATCCAATAAATCTGGCTTTTTCTGAACTGGCATATATACATGGCTGAATTAAGACAAGTGTGAGTGGCTGTTCCATTTATCATGATGAATTACTCTGTAAGGTAACTAAAATTTCCACATATTCATTCTGCTTTTTAACTTGCAGTTGACAGCTCAGGAAATTCTAAAGCCAATGAGAAAGGAGCCCTGTTACGTAGCGTGCATCCCAGGATCCTGTCGCACAGAGCTGTGTCATCTCTTTACTGATGCCCATGGGACCGCATGGAGTGTGATCTGCCTACCACCCCAGGCTCACCCCACTTGCTGCCCCCTGTACTCCCAGCCTCTAGCCTTCAGGAAGCTTTTCAGTCCTTAAAATTCTCTAAGACTCTTCCTCCTCAAGCCATTCTCTTTGCTACAGATTTCGTTCAGTAGCACTCTTGTGTCCCTTTACGTTTGCTTCCGGAGAACTGCTTTGGTAGCAATGCCTCTGATTTCAAGGAACTCCTCTCTTTTCTGTGGGACTTCTATGTCTCGTCTACATCGCTCTACTAAGCTGATAAACTGTGCACTTGCTAAGAACTTGCTCAAAGTGCACAGCACAGTGCTGGCATAGTAGGCACACAATATTTGTAGGATGAATAAATATATGAGTATGCCAGTGTTAAGCCAAGAACTGAGGGTGCCGCTATGAGTTTTCATGGTTCTAGCTTGTCATTTGAGAATAAATACATGCTTGGGTTTCCCATGTTCATAAATTGTATTCTTAACTTAAACAGATACTAAGCAGAACAGAAACTCAAGCAATTCTCAGATCACTGGGATTCAAGCAAATAAACAAGCGAATGAGAAGCTACAATGAGATATATCCAAGTGTTACACTACAATTTTTAAAAGCAGGATCCTACTTGGATATTTCCCTAATCCATCATGCACATGTATGCACACACTCCCACTCACAAATACAAAGAAGGAACATCAAAGTTCTCTTTAAAAATCTGAGGGGAGATTTTCCCTTTCATCCAAGTGGCCTTTAAAATGTTTATGAAACTGTTTATTGTGAAAAGACTACATATGCATAGATTACAAAAAAATTCTGTACCAAAATTTATTTTTCAGGACCAGCATTGTGATATAGCAGGTAAAGCTGCTACCTGTGGTGCCTGAATCTCAAACGGATGCCAGTTTGGGTCCTGGCTCTCCAGTCTGAACCAGTTTCCTGCTAATGCTCAGCAGAGGATGGCCCAAGTGCTTGGGCTCCTGCACTCACATGGGAGACCCGGAAGAAGCTCCTGGCTCCCAGGACCAGCCCAGCCCCTGCACTTGGGCCATTCGGGGAATGAACCAGTGGATGGAAGATGTTTCTCTCTCTCGATCTGTCTCTCCCTCTCACTCTGTAACTCTGCCTAATCGGATCTCAAAAAAACATGTTTCAATTCCATTTCCCATGAACTCTGTCAGGCACCTATGGGAATGGGCACTCACAGTAAGTGTTGTCACCAGCACTTCAGTGTTGATGTGACAGATTCTGAGCTTACCTTAGGACACGTGGGGTTTCTTGCTGTTTCAATCATTAGTGCAGATCCCATTCTCTCCCTTTATTGAAGGAGAACAAACAATGTCAAAATAATTTTATCTCCTACCAATCAGGGAACACAGACTAGGCAATTACTTAACTGTCTGCTATGAGGGACAAAGAAGTGTAATGATCTCCCTTAGGAGTCTTCTAGTCCAACAAACCCAGGTGGAGCAGTATACAGCTATTTATTCACCTCTGGTTTGGAAGGCAAGCATCCAGGGTTCTGAGATGGAGCTATCCACACAGGCTACAGTGAGGGGGAAAATGCAGCAGGACACGAAGAAGGGACAGATTACCAGGTTCAAAGCCAAGATATGTGCAGGGTAAAGGCTTGAGGGCAGAAAAGCTCAGGCAGGGTCCCACTGACAGAGTAACAGAGCTATGCTAAGACTGTAAAATTACATGCAGACCAGTCAGTTGCCTAAAATCCGGGTCAGGGAAGATAGACATTAAACTTGTTTTAGCAGGTAGCACAGAGCCAGTGTCATTAAAAAACTGCTTTGAAATTCATCCCAGCTGACACTTAAATTACTACAGCACCGCAAGGGAAGGCCTTTGGAAGTAATTTCCACAGTGGGGAGTTTTATTTCAATACAGACTGCCAGGCTTAAAAGCTACGAAACTGCCCCTGCTTTATCAAGCTTCTTTAAAAGTAAAGACATTTTTCAAATAATACATTTCTTAACTAGCATCTTAGGGAATCTCACATAAAGGAAGTATTTATAATCTGTGTCATGATGTTCCCTTTACAGGTTTTACAACTCCATCAGTGCACACTGCTTTCCAAAGTGACTGTGAACCCCCTGGTCCTTGTCAACTGGGTGAAGACAGAGGATCATGTTTTACTCTTGTAAGGAGGTCTTTTAACTTTTCCTAGAAATCTTGCTAGAAAACTGGAAGCAGATTCCTAATACATATCTCCTCTGACTCCACGCTTTCACTTACAAAAAAAAAAAAAATTTAAGTAGATTTATGTAGGCTATCCTAACTTTTATTTTGAATGTAAAGGTATTTTTTTCTACAAGAAATTTATTAAATTAAAAGTAGCATCATCTACAAAATGGAACAATGAAGAGCTATTAAAACATTTTTCGAAAACATTTACTGGCATGGGAAATAATTTGTGGCAAAAGTGAAAATGCAGGGTATAAAACTATATCTACATCATCATCCCAATTTCTGAAGGACATGAAAACAGACACACTCGTCATCAGCACACACACAACTGTCTATCTGGAGAAAAACTCCAAAAAGAAACACCACCATGTTAATCGTGATAATCTGTACTGTTTTATTCACATACTCTATTTCCTGTATAATAACTATTTCTAAGACACACTAACATTTGGCCAATATCAGCCTTCTTATGAACTGGCCTCCTGGGGTGGGGTTTGGCTTACTGGCTCTGATGCCGGGTGTGATATCAGTATCCCATTTCAGACTGTTTGGGTCTGTGTCCCAGCTCTGCTCTCGGCTCCAGCTTTCTGCTAATGTGCTTCCTGGGAGGTAGCAGGTGCTGGTCCAAGTACTGGGTCCCTGCCACGCATGTGGGAGACCTGGTGGAGCTCCTAGCTTCAACATGGCCCAGCCTTTGCTATTGCAGGCATGCAGGGAGTAAAAGCAGGCGATTGGGAGCTCTCTGTGTCTGAGGCTCTCAGAGAAATAAAAATAAGTAGCTAAAAGTTAAAATAACTTGGTGACATATTTCATAATGGGACAGAAATGTAAAGTGTGCAACCACAGCACTGTTAAAAATCACAAAATAGAATGCGCAACATATAAATGTTCTAAATATGCCATAATCAAATGGCTGAGAAAGTATAGTACTATCATACTATAAAGTATGTTTTTATAAAATGAAAGGAGCTGGCATTGTTGTGTACAGGCTGTACCACAGACTTTATGGCTGGCATCCCACATGGGCACTGGTTTATGTCCCAGCTGCTGCTCTTCCAATCCAGTTCTCTATTAAGACCTGGGGAAAGCAGCAGTGGATGCTCCCGTGCCTGGGCTCCTGTCACCACCCAGAGCCCCAGATGAAACTCACTGCTCTTTTTTCTGATTGGTCCAGTCCTGGCTGCTGTAGCCATCTGGAATGGAAGACCTCTCTGTCTGGCCCCCCTCTCTGGAATGCTGGCTTTCAAATCAATCAAACTTTGAAATATGAGATATACAGCTCTGAGTAATAGTATTGTGAGTGATTTTAAATTTCTCTGTTATGGCACTATATTATTTGTGAAGAAATTTAAAAATTATTTAGTGTTTCAGAAAATTACTTTAGAACTAATATGTTTAATAAAAACAGTAAGACACAAGGACAATCTAAATGCAATAATATTTCATATTTTTTAAGGAAGAAATTTTTACTTTTACGTGGAAATCACACACATACAAACCCCAAAAGTCAATAACCAGAATACGATTCACTAAAATAATAGGTTGTTATCTCTAATTATTGCAATTAATAATTTAATATTCCTTATTTTCCGTTAAAGTCTACAAAGATTATATAATCAGAACATTTTATAACAGAGTGATTGTAACTTACTTAAGAATCTTTTCCCATGTCTGACTGTCATAAAATGCATGGCTCCAGCTCATTTTGACTGTTCCAACGATGACATTTTGTGAAAATACATCTGATCCTAGTTTCCGATAAAGTTCCTCGCATTCGTCCAGTGGCATGTGGAATAGTCCTAACATGAAAGCTAATATGGCACCTAAAAAAGCAATTGTGACTTTATCAGTAATGATGTTACAACATACAGGTTTATAAGATCTGAGTTATAGCCCTGCCTTAAATTTTAGCTTCGATAATTTATAGCTATTACAGACTGTTTAATCTTTCAGAACCCTGATTTCTTCGTCTATAAAGCCAGAGTAATAACAACTAAAATTCATTGAGACAATACGTGTCTAGGCCCCCAAAGGATTAAAATAAATGCTACCCATCTATAGTAATGATGACAATTTAAAACATTATAAAGACATTTTTATTTAGGGGTCACTGTCACAGGACAGGGTTAACCCACTTGCTGTGACTTTGAAATCCCATAGAGCACTGGTTTGAATCCCAGTTGCTGCATTTTTTATCCATCTACTTGCTAATAAGCCTGGGAAACCAATGGAAAATGGTGCAAGTTCTTGGGCCCCTGCACCAACATGGAAAACTTGGACACAAGTTCAGGCTCCTGGCTTTAGCTTGGAAATCCCAAACACTGTGGCCACTGGGGAGTGACCCAGTGTATAGAAATCTCTCTCTCTGTGTCTGTAACTGTGCCTTTCAAATAACACACAGATACTGTAAAAAAAAAAAAAGTTCTTTAATATTAAATTAACTAATATATAAGTAAGATGTTGTGGCAGATGATGGCCTTTAACATTAATACTAAGTTTCAGTTACAGAATAAAGTATATTCAACAACTCACCAATTCATTAAACAATTACTCCTTCACTTGGCCCTAGAACCAATGTAATTAAAGAAATTAGGTCCTCTGGGATGTCCTTTCCAGCGCATCTGCTAGCTCTAACTGGCAGGATACACTGCCACCTAGTGCATCTAACTGGCCTAACTCTGAAGTAAGGCAGTAAAAGGGGAAAGGAGGCTGGGGCTGTGAGAGGGCGGAGCACAGAACTGTGTCACTCGCTGCTTCTGATCTGAGAGCACGGTACAATACAGAGAAAGGATCCCAGTACTGTGCTATCCTAATGTAAATACTTAATATGTTAGTCCAGTAAAAGGTCAAGCACTTTATGCTTTAAACATACAGGGGTTATGTAACAGAAATTTACAGCAAAGTTTACAGTTAACATAAATAATTTGCAAAAAAGGAAGTTTCCTCCTTTCAAGCAGAGCTACGATAAATATGAGCATATATTAAAATCACTGTTATTGAACTGGTTAATGACATTACCTTGAAATAAACATGTGTGAACTTTATAAAAAGGTTATCCATGTTTTAATTTACAGTTAACATAAGGCGGAAGGAAGCAGGGAGAAGACATTGTGATATAGAAACAGACAGCACTCAACTCGCTCTCCACGGCTGAGCCGGGCATTGAGTCTCAACTTGTCGAACATCAAAGCAAGAACTCAGCTCGCAGCCCAGTTCAAACATCAGCATCACTAGGATCATTCCAAGACTCAACAGAAATGCCCTGGGGAACAGTGCTCAAAGAAGCTCCAAAAAAGACAGTCATGAAATGTCTCTTGAGATAATTCCAACTCAAAACAATTTCAGATATACATGTTCGAGCCTCTATCATTCATAATACACATATTACAGAAATTCCTCTAAAAAAGCCAATCAACCAAACAAAAAAACAAATTGTTTAGCTTCCTAAAACCCAGTCTTTTCCAAATTTGCTAAAACTGTGAGGAAACAGTTTTCAGTGACATTTTTAATTTCAGAGGATTCAAGTCTAAAAAAAGCCAAGGATTGCTTATGCTTTCCAGTCATCCCCATAACTGCTCTCATCATTTAGTTTTGACAATTGAGCATCAGATTCCTCAGCCTTCAGAAGCTCACACTTTTCACAGGTAACCTAAAGAAATATTTGGGGTCTGGCGCGGTAACCTCGTGGCTAACAGCTCTGATACTGAAGTCAGTGCAGTGGATGGCATACCCAGATGCGCATGGGAGACATGACAACCAGCTCTTGGAGGCCTGCAGAGGACATCTAGTACCACGGAGGGCAGAGCAAATCGGGCAGCTCTCCTGGCCAAGCTTTGACAGCCAGTATCTAGATGAGTGGAGACTCCAAGGTGGACTGTCAGCCAATGGACCTTGGGAAGATTTCCTCAACTTTGGAGCACTGAAATCAACAGCATCTCAGAACTATTAAAACTATTTACACATTACCCTTGGAACATGGTCCACACTGGGGACCCTGAGATGATCTCGGTGGCAACCCCCAGCCCCAGGGACTGATGCAGTTAGGCTGCTGGGAGGGGCCCCTCCCCACTTTCCCCACATACAGGAAAAGAGATTGGAGAGCTGTCTCATCCTCTCACTCATCCCTCGGCCCTTCCCACCCTAATCAGTGGGCCACGTGGGCATGTACCTTCCTCACTATGTAAACATCATTAAAAATTAAATTTATTATAACAAATATAAAATTCATTCAGCAAGCTGAAGAATTATTCATTATCAAAACATGAAACTAATTTTTAGCATTTCAGGAAATGATTGTGACCTTAAATCACAGTGACTAATTCTATTTTCCTTAACGAGCTGCTATAATGTCCCACTTCTATTTACGAAGCTGTAATTACCTGTGCTTACACCACAGATGTAATCAAAGAGCTGATGAACTGGCTTCTGAGTAAGTTCAACTAATTTTCTGAGCGTCTGAAGAGCAACCACACCCCTGAAGGAAAGTCAGAAAAAATGAGACTTTTACAAGTTCTAAATAGAACAATTGTATAAATTGCCTTTTTAGCTTATATGCTAACAGCAAAAAAAAAAAAAAAAAGAATAATATAAAAATATAAATAGGTCAGTAAAAATTCACTTGACAAAATTTTTAGGATCACTTTTGGAAAACTAGCATCTAATTGATGGTATTAAGTCTGTGCTTTTGGAGCTGGAATAGTGGCAAGAAAGTTTTTGCCCACGATGTTGGCAACCCATAGGGTGCCAGTTCCTCTCCCAGGTGCTTCACTTGCAGACCAGCTTCCTGCTAACCACCTGGGGAAAGCAGAAGATGGACCACCCACCTGGCCCTGCCACTCATGTGGGTGACCCAGAGAAAGCTCCTGGGTCCTGACTTGAGCCTGGCTCAGTCCTGGTGTTGCAGGAATCTGGGAAGGGAACCAGCAGGTGGGCAATCTCTCCCTCTCTTTCAAATAACATATAAACCTTTTATTAAAAAAAAAACAAAATACACAAATCCTGTACTATAGTAGCACATTTAAAAAAAGTACATACTAGCATTGTTTTAAGTACAAACAAGTCAGTTTAAGACATTCTCTTAAATGCCTCAAAATTCAGGAGAACACTTAAATGCTCCATCCACCAGTTCCTGGGCACCACCTACCAGCTTCCTGCTTTAACAGTATACTCTGTGCCCTTTGCTCCCATACCTTTGTGATTTGTATTTCATTACTTGGGTTTTGATGCTCCCTTTTTAATGATTAATTTTCTAAAACTCTTAGTAACTTGCAGACAAACCTCTGCATTAAGAATGTACTAATTAATAGTCTCACTTTTATTTTTGATTTCTGACATAGTTTCATGAAGGAATGCAAAAGAGATGAAACAGCCTTCAGGGTGTGAATATCACATGGGTGGTTCTTAATACTGGACGATTATACAAAAGTGATGGAAATTTTAACTTTCAAGATAGGGCAAGTAAGACCTGGAGCATAGCAGCTAGCTCTCACAAAATCAAATCTAGAACATCAAGTTCTGCCTCGATACTGGTAATAGGAAGTCATTAAAAGATTAACGTAGAGGGCCTGGCACAGTAGCCTAGTGGCTAAATCTTCACCTGGCATCTGCCAGGATCCCATATGGGTGCCAGTTCCTATCCCGGATGCTCCCCTTTCCATCCAGCTCTCTGCTTGTGGCCTGGGAAAGCAGTCGAGGACAGCCCAAGGCCTTGGGACCCTGCACCTGCATGGGAGCCCAGGAAGAACCTCCTGGCTGCTGGCTTCAGATTGGCTCAGCTCTGGCCATTGCAGCCATTTGGGGAGTGAACCAGTGGATGAAAAATCTTCTCTCTGTCTCTCATCCTCTCTGTAAATCTGACTTCCCAATAAAAATTAAAAAATATTTTTAAAAAGATTAAAATAGAAAACCAAGCATGCTGATTTCTTAATGGCATCAAATAAAGCAGATGTGAGGTATGGTAAGACTAGGTGGATTATAAGACAGGCATATCAATTCCAGGTGAGACGTGGAGAATTACAGATGCTGCTGCATAAGATAAATTAAAAATGTGACCTACATAATCACAAAATTGAAATACAATGGACATATATACATATCTTCACATAGAAAGAAATTTGAAAAATTCAAAATATTTAAATAATCTTGAAGTTATTAACTAAGTCTTTTTTTTCTGACTCAAGCTTTTATAATCAGGGGGGAAAAAAGCTTAAAATGCTGCATTTATCTGTTGATTCAGAAAGAACTCAAAAAAATATTTGCCAAAAGAGAGAGAATCTTCCATCCCTGGTTCACTATTCAAATGTTTACAACAGTGAAGGTGGACCAGGCTGAAGCTGACAGCCAGGAATCTCAACCTGGGTCCCCCACGTGGGTGACAGGGTTCCAACTACCTGAGCCATCACCTGTTGCTACCCACACTGCGTCATGCATTAGTAGGAAGCTGGACTCAAGAGCAGACCCGGACTGATGCCCAGGCACTGCGAGAGGGAAAGCAGGCATCTCAGGCAGCATCTTCATCGCTGTGCCAAGCACCCTACCCATATAGGGTCTTAGATAAGACAGACGCAACTATGTGCTCTTTCCCGCACTCGTCCTCAGACCATGCTGCTTTCTGCTGCTTTCTCATATTTATTCCCTTGAAGTTCCCCAGTAGCTATGTCACTGACGCCCTGGATCACACAATTCTGTTTTGGAAGGACTGTACTGCACATTATGACATGTTCAACACTGTCTTCTTCACTCTAGATGAAAAAGGCAGACTCCCAGTTCTAACAACCAACAACGTCTTTAGGAGCTGCCAAACGTCTGCTGGGAGGCAAAACCACTTCCTGTGGAGAACTACTGATGTAAACCTACCTTCATTCAAGCCTACTCTTCAATTTCCCAAAAATTTCTGCACTAATTTTCTTCCTGAGTAACAAAACTCTTAATCTATAAGAGCAAAGGATTACTGCTTACAAACATCACATTCATCATCCCTCTCTTACCTAAAACAGATATTTGCAAGTCTGTGAACTGTCTTGTTTCAAATTTCTACTTAAACATTCTTGAAAAAGAAGTCATGTTCATTTTGTAAAATAGCACCATTATCTTCTATATCTCTCTGGTTTATTTTTCTTCATAGTAACCATGATTACCCAGTAACATATATCTTATATCTTCTTTTTTTCCTTAGGATTTATTTTACTTATTTGGAAGGCATAGTGATAGAGAAGAAGTGGAGGAGGAGGGGAGAAGAAAGGAGAGGGCAGAGAGAGACCTTCTGTCCACTGGTTTGCACCCCAGATGGCCCTAACAGCTGGGATTAGACCAGGCTGGAATCAGGAGCCTGGAACGTCATTCAAACCTCCCATGCAGGTGGCAGTGTCCAAGTCCTTGGACTGTCTTCTACTACCTTCCCAGGTGCATTAGCAAAGAGCTGGATCAGAAGTGGAGTAGGCAGGACTTACCATTGCTCTGATATGAAATGCTAGTGTCACAGCCAGTGGCTTAACGCATTACACCACAATGCTGGACCCTATTCTTGCTTTTCTGTTTGCTATATTTCTACTGCTACTGAATACAACCACAATGCAGGGGCTCTGTTAATGTGCCTGGGAAAGCAATGGAAAGGTGGCCCAAGTGCTCGGACCCCCACATTCATGTGGAAACCTGGACGTAGATCCTGGTTCCTGGCTCCAGCCTAGGCCAGCCCTGGCTGTTGCAGCCACCTGGGAATGAACCAGTGAATAGAAGAGTGCTCTCTCTGCTCTCATCTCTCTCTCTCTCTCTCTGTAATTCTGCCTTTAAATAAGTAAATGAAGCTTAAAAAAAAAGATGCCACTAGCAATGCCTGCATCCCTTATCAGAGTGTCTTGTCCTGCTCCCAGTTTCAGCTCCCCACTAATGCACACCCTGGGAGGTGGCCAGCAACAGGCCAGGTAAGTTGGGTCCCTACTAACCAAGTGAGAAACAAGGATTGAGTTTCTGGCTTCTGGCAACCCATTGGCTTAAACCCAATTGTTGCAGGTATTTAGGAAGTGAACAAGTAGATGAGGTTGAACTCTCTCTGCTCTTTAAATGAATGAGAGAACATACAGAAGAATGACAGATAACAGAGAGAGAAGTCACAGTTAAATTAAGGTTAAGAATGAAAAGTGGGGCATGTACTGTGAATCTGAGAGGTATGGATAGAGATGGCAAGGGATAGGATCCAGACTAGAAAGTTTTGGAGAAATGGTTCACAACAAATTGGGCCAAAGGATCTAAGAGCAAGAATGGATTCCCAGAACAAAGAATGGAGCATGACTATTAATTTTTTTCCTTCTGATCAAAGAATACATTTATTTCTTATACAAGGGTACTTTAAAAGTTTTGTGTAGAACGGAATTAAAAGATAAGCTTATTTTGGTGCAAAAAAAATTGTGAAATCCACTCTTACGAGAAGTATCTAAAAAGTCTGCACCAAAATAAATGCATTTCCAAATTTTATTTTCCATGAACTTTGCCCTATATATAGCACCAGAACTGGCCAGTGAAGACACAGGACTAGGAAATGACCGATACAGTCTCCTTTTCTGACAAATGCTATCTTAAAGGAATGACATAACTGGGTAAGGTAAATGTCACACAAGAAAGGTGGAATCATGAGACACTGCGAGGTCTTAAGAGAATAATGCTTGGAAAGCCCCTAGTCTCCCGAAGGGCATGAACACAGCAAACTAAAGCATAATACTACACTAAATCAAAATTCAGCTCTGAGATGAAAAAACACTACATTAAAGAAGGATAATTTCACCTTTAAAAAGTTTTGATTTCGTGACACAATCAAGACCAGAAATGTTAAGTTCCCAAGGCAGAAGTGAATGTTATTATAAGAATAATTGTTTTAGTCTTACCTTGTTCCTCCGCCATCAATTGTAAGAATTCGAATCCCTCTGCCTTTCACTGGATCCACATAACCAATCAAGGCCAAAATTTCTCTAACTGCAGCCTGAAGAGTTTCATCCTTCATTTGCCTCATTCGCAATAAATAAGGAATAATTCTTTCCTATATTGAGAGAAAAGATTTTTATTGTTTTTGTCAAAACAAGGATAAAATATGAGTGACTTTTTTTTAACCAATACAAGTAGGTCATCATATAAAATTAAGGTGTCAGAATTCAATAATCTTAAAGTACAGACTTCTGTAAATTTGAAGGTGAGCAGGGGAGGGGACTGTGATGCTGTAGTTACTCCCTGGTTGGCCATGGCTGGGGCTGGGCCACACCAAAGTCGAGAGGTAACAGTTCAATGCAAGTCTGCCCAATCTCCCACACCAAACACTTGAGTCACTGCCTTCTGCCTCCCACAGGTATGGAAGAGAGCCGAGTCATGAACCCAGGTTCAGGTTCATGTAGTATGGGATGCAGGAGTCCCAAGGAGCAACATACCTGCTATACTAAGCACCTATCCCCAGATTAGTTTTGATACAGTAATGTCAGTTAATATCTAAGATGCATTTGTTCCGATATTGAGAACATAAACCAACCTCTATCCAACAGAGTACTTACAAGAAATTTGCTTGACACAAGCTTGAGACAACACAATAAATTTTACACAATATTTTTCCAAATTATAAAGTTACCAGGTAAAAACACTTCACAATAAATGTTGAAAATTAAAATGCCATTAAAAGGAAAGAAAAAAATCCTTGCGTGTGTACACTTCATATGAGTAGGAGACACAGTTAGCCACCCAGATCCTGCTTCAGGCCCCACGCCCTATGTTTTCGCTCTATCTCTGCTATCTCTGCTTCTCTCTGTTTCTACCACTGCCTTTTAAATAAATTAAGTCTTTAAAAACAAATAACTAATCCAATATTAAGGGTAAGAATAGTATGAGAATTTATACTACTAGAGGCTGATGCTGTTGTACAATGTGTTGAGCTGTGGCCTGCAGTGCCAGCATCCTATATGCGTGCAAATTAGAGTCTGGGCTGCTCCACTTCTAATCCAGCTCCCTGTTAATGTGCCTGGGAAAGCAGTAGAAGATGGCTCAAGATACTGGGCCCCTACCATACACATGGGACAGCAAGAGAAAGATTTGGTTATTGCAGCCATCTGCAGAATGAGATAGTGGATGGAACATCTTTCCTTTGTAACTCTGCCTGTCAAACAAATAAATACATCTTAAAAACAAGGAATTTACACTATTAGATATTAAATTTAGTACTATCAAACCATAATAATTTAGGCAGTGCAGTATTGCACAAAGAATAGACAATATAGAGGCTGGCACTGTGGCTCAACACCTGTAGGCGCCAGCATCCCATGTTGGGTACCAAGTATTGTCACGGCTGTTCCAGTTATGATCCAGCTCCCTGCTTGTGTTCTGGGGAACCAGCAGACAATGGTCCAGTCCTTGTTACCCCAAACCCATGTGTAAGACCTGGAGGAAGTTCCTGGCTTTGGACTGGCTCAGCTGTGGCCATTGCAGCCATTTGGACAGTAAACCAGCAGATGGGAAGATCTTTCTTCCTCTCATTATCTCTGAAAATTTTGTCTTTCGAATAAAAATAAATAAATCTTTATAAAAAATACTTACTTTTAAAAAGAGGCTAGACAAAAAATCAATAGAACAAAACATAGTGCCCAGAAACACTTCGTATTTAATAATTACTGATAAGTCTTTTCAATAAATGGTGCTGGCTCAACTGGATGTGGACATAAAAATAAAAGTCAATTCTATCTCACACTGAACAACCAAGTCTATTCTAGATGAAAGGCAGATTCTAGTATGAAAGGTAAAACACAGTTTTAAAACACAGAACACTTAACAACTCAGAACAGGCAAATGTTAGAACAGGACACTGAGCTAGCCATAAAGAAAAATATTTTTGAATTGGGCTAAACTAAAACCATGAATATCTGCTTATCAAAAAACACGTGGGTGAAAAGGAAGAATATATTTTTAAGATACACACACACACAATTTATAGCCATAACATGTAAAGAAAATGCATAGGATCACTAAGTAACAGTCAGTGCAATAGAAACACAAGTCAGAACTTGAATGGCCCCTCACAGAGGGAGGACATGAACAGCCAATAAATACCGGAGAAGACCCTGAACCTCAAAGTTACTGAAGAAATGAAAATTAAAACCACAGCATCACAAAACACCCTCCAAAGAAAGACTAAAGTTAAAAAAAAAAAAAGCTAAAGCTAAAGGATTGGAGAAACACAATATAACCAGAAAACTCACACAATTTTATTCAAAGTGTCAACTGGCAGAAGAACTATGTAAAACCATCTGGCAGTATTTACTAAAGATGAAAATGTAGGCTCTTCGCAACCACTAATACTACATATAACTCTAACCCCTGAAGAAATGAAGACAAATGTTTTCCAAAAGATACACCCTAAGATCACTATTTCTAAACAGCTCCAATCCAAAAACTCCTCAGGTCAGTAGGAGAATGGAGGAATCATTGCTGTAATGCAACAGGCCTCAGTGAAAAGGAATGTTCTATAAAGGAATGTTCTGTAATCACACTTGGTGATACAAACATAATGGTAAGTGGGAAAAAAAAAAAGTGCACCTACTCTATCACTCCACTTATACGAGACAAAAAGAGGTACACGTAATCTCCAATGCTAGAGCCTTTTTCATGAAGCTAATGTTTCGGTACTTGGTAACATTCCACCTCTCACCATAGGTGAGGGTTGTATGAGCATAAACGTGCTCATTTTGTGAAAAACAACAGAAATGCACAGAGGTTCACCGTGCTGGAGAATCACCCACACCCGTGTTGACTCTCTGAGTGTGTAGTGGTAAGCCAATAAGATTTTGTGTTTATTATTACAGTTCAAACCCGCAATATCTGACAAATACAAATGGAACCTAATACAGTGTCAAAGGCAAGCCGCCAGATGAGGCTGCTTCAGAATCAGGGCTTGCCTTCTCCACTTCAGAAGGGCTATTAGTATGCTTAGCCTATGAAAACAGCACACTGCAGACAGCAGAAGTTACCTTCACAGCCACTCCTTTTCCTTCAGGAAATTCGAGAAGATGGAAAGTCAGCTCTTCCACCCTTGTGATGCAGAGCTTTGGGTCAGATGTTCTCCTCAGCGCCTGAACCAACGCTCGGGTTCTGTTATCAATACTCACCCTTGCAATAATCTACAAAGAGATATTGCACATGTATCAGTCAAATGCAAACTGCTCTAAGAAGCAGTTAAAACTTCTTTGGTCCCGGGTTCAAAAGCCAAATCCTTGCCTTGCAAGTGCTGGGAGCCCATTTGGGCACTGGTTCATGTCCCAGCAGCCCTGCTTCCCATCCAACTCCCTGTTTGAGGCCTGGGAAACCAGTCACAGATGGCCCAAAGCCTTGGGACCCTGCACCTGAGTGCAAGACCCAGAAAAAGCTCCTGACTTCAAATCGGCTCAGCTCCAGCTGTCGCAGCATCTTGGGGAGTGAACCAGTAGATGGAAGATCTTTCTGTCTCTCCTTCTCTCCAAAAATCTGACATACCTTTCCACTAAAAATCTTTAAAAAATCTTTAAAAATCTTTTAAAAAAATCTTTTAAAATCTTTAAAAAAAAAATGAAAACTTCTTTGGTCCCACTAGGAAGTGAAACCTAATCTGACAGAATCTATACATAGCTTGAGAGCACAAGGAATAACGACTTGCCTTTTCCCGTTGAAGAGACAGGTGCTTCTTCGCCTCGCCAGCTTTGTCTCTGCTGCTAGTGGACTCAGCCTTAGGCTCCTCCTGATCCTCGGCCTGACTCTTCGAGTCATACTTTAATTTGGGGACGAGCCCACCAATGTAACCACCTACTAACGCTTGTACACCTTCAGTGGGGCGAGAAAGAAAGTTAGCAATAGTCTGTTTGGTAGAAACTGGAAGAGCCTCGGCCGCGCTGCTGGGACTCGCAGCCTTGTCCACCGTCCCCGGGGAAGACTCGGGGCCTGCCTCAGCCACCAGGGCGCCAGGATCCACGGAACCGGACTTCCCTTCTTCCACCTTTTTACCTTCAAGTCCTGATTCCTCCATTTGTCTGTCTTCCTTGTTTTGAGACATTTTTTCCTCCCGCTTGAAGTATGAATTAATATGGTTTGATAAGAAGTAGAACGACTCTCCAAACTTCGTGGTTATCGTCCCCGTGTAATGAAAAAGGCTCTGTTTACTGGTCTCTTCCTTATCGGGAACGTGACCTTTGTCTTCTGGTACGGAACTTTTCTCTGTTGACTTGTCACTGTATTTTTTCAGGGATCTGATGGCTTGTTTAATATGTCCCTCTTTCAGCCAGCCACTCTCTGATACTTTTCTGAATATCCGAGAACTTGGCTTAAATTGAGCTAACCGTGAAATCATTTCATTCTGCTTGCCAAAAACAGCCTTCGAAACAGAGTTCAAAGTACTTTTAATACGGGACATACGAATGCTCACCTTCGTAAGTCCCTTGGGAGCAGATGCACTAAGTTTCAAGATTCCAATATGTAAATCATGTTTGCCTGGAGGATAATACTGCTTACTGCAAGCACGTGTTTCACTTTTGGTCCATTTACATCTTATTTTGTGTGGATGGAAACCTCTTTGTAGACTGACGTAGCTGGTCTTCCAGTAAAGCTTAGGTGAGTACAAGAAGTGCAGCTGCTTGCGTCTGTGCTGCCCACAGAAACTTCTGGCATTACTAAGGAGGTAAATACACAGATCTACAGTCAAATTAATAGACATAACTTAAAAATCACCTATTTTCAAAATGACATTCTCTCACTTTATTCCTGAATGCTTCATTTAAGAAATGTCACAAGTCATGGTCTTACCTGAAATGACAAGAAAAAATAAAGAAAACAATTAGGATTCAGATTTAAATTGAAATTGGGTGTGATACGCGATACATACTTCCTGAATTTAGTTTAGCAACTTCTAAATGGTTGCTAGAGATTTCACTTTTAAACTAATGGAAAATAATTCAATTCTCAGTATAAAAGTAACTGAATAGAAACACCAAATACTGGGATGTTAAGGGCAAGAGGTAATTCAGAAATGCTGCCTACTTGCTCATTTTTCACATAATACATAATGTAATACACAATTAAGATATCATGGTTTTTTTTTCTTCCCTACTGTTAAATTCTTGAATTTATATGGCACTAGACTTGTAAGGTGATTTTTATTTACTTATTTACTTGAAAGGCAGAATTACTGGACAGCACATTGGCTCAACTGGCTAATCCTCCACCTCCAAGTGCCATATCCCATTAGGGCGCTGACTTGTGTGCTGGCTGCTTAACTTCTTTATCTTAAGATTTACTTATTCTCATTGGAAAGTCAGATAGACAGAGAGGAAGATCTTCCATCTGATGATTCACTCCCCAAGTGACTGCAACAGCCAGAGCTGAGCCAATCCAAAGCCAAGAGCCAGGAACCCTTTCAGGTCTCCCACGCAGGTGCAGGGTCCCAAAGCTTTGGGCTGTTCTCAACTGCTTTCCCAGGCCACAAGCAGGGAGCTGAATGGGAAGTGGAGCTGCCAGGATTAGAACCAGTGCCCATATGGGTGAGGACTTGAGCCGCTAGGCTACTGTACTGGGTCCTGGCTACTTTACTTCTAATCCAGTTCCCTGCTTACGGCCTGAGAAAGCAGTGGAGGATGGCCCAAGCCTTTGACACCCTGCTCCAATGTGGGAGACCTGGAAGAAGCTCCTGGCTTCGGGTCAGCTCAGTTCTGGCCTTTGCAGCCACTTGGGGAATGAACCAGCAGATGGAGGATCTTCCTCCTTGTTTCCTACTCTCTGCAAATTTTACTTTCCAATAAAAATAAATAAATCTTTAAAACAAAGGCAGAATTACATAAAGAGAGGGCCAGGGAAGACTGAAAGAGAGAGATCTTCAATCCTTTGGTTCAGAGCCCAAAGAGGTGCAAGGGCCAGGCCTGGACTAGGCTGACATCAGGAACCTGGCACTCCATTCAGGTCTCCTACAATCTTATTTGCAATAAGAGGATACGAACAAATGTAAAGACATCCTGTATTCACAGACTGAAGAATCAATACTGAGAATATGTACATACTATTCAACATGATTAAATAAACTCAGTGCCATCCCTAACAATGACACTCTCCATAGAACTGGGGGGGCGGGGGGAACACTGCCAGATTTGTACTGAATTACCAAAGATTCTGAATATCATAACAATACTGAGTCAAAAGAATAAAGCCAGGGTGGCTTTCTTTCTACATCGCCTGTGAATGCAGTATTTCCTAATACCCCAATGTTGAGAGGGAAGGAGAGCAAAGAAGTGAAACCCTTTGCCTTTCTGGTTTGAATGCCTTTAGACTTGTGGTCAATGTGGTAAGTGCAGTTAGGCCCTCCCACCCCACAACACAGAAATATCTGTTCAAAATATAAAACACACATGGGCAGAAAATCCTGTTAGTGGGAAATCTATATGTTCAAGAGGAACCATAGGCCTGGACCTCTGATTCAGAGACCTGCAGGCCTCCCAGCAGGATCAGCTGAAAGCATCGCAGGAGGACACCTGTAAAGCAATGTGCACTGAAGATTAACTCACGGGGATTACAAAACACGCAAGGAAGTGAACCATCACCTAGAGAGGATCAGCAAACACCCTCAGAGGGAAAATATGTAACCAGGGTGTACTGCTAGGGAAAGGAAGAAAAACACGACTACGCAGGTCCACAATGTGAACAGAACCACTGAAGGAAAAACAAAAAGGAAAAAAACTGTATAGACAACAAACAGGGAAAATAAAATTTTAGAAATGAACATTTGAGCTACACAATAGTTATAAGACACACTGGCTGAAATCAAATGGGAATAATGGCACAACAGGTTTCTACTAGCCAACACAAAGCGAAAAGTTCTTCAACACAGGTGTGAGCGAAAGGCATTGTAAAGTAAAACAGATGCCTACAATAAAAAGAATAGTTCCTGTACTGAAGCCTTGGAGAAAAAAGTAAGGCAACATCTGTCATCAAGCTGAAAAAACTATGAATAGCAGAAAAGCAAGGAGTAGGAGGAGAAGGGTACAGAGGGTGCTTGCTATTTCTTTACATTATTTATTTTTATGTATTTGGAAGGCACAGAGACGAAAGAGACAGACACAGATCTTCGAACTGCTGATCCATTCCCCAAATGCCTTTGCCAGCCAGAGCCCAGGCAGGCTTAAGGTGGGAGACAAGAACTCAACTGAGGTCTGCCACATGGGTGGAGGGGGACCCAAGATCCAGTAAGGGGTGCATTACAGCAGGAAGCTGCTGTTGGAAGTCGTGGGATTCCAACCAGAGCACCCATAACACGGAACTCCAGTTTCCCAGGTGCCAAGTGACCACTGTGCCAAGTGCCTGTGCAAGGAAACTGCTCTTCAGAGATGCAGACACAACCTGAGTGGCGGGGGAAAGGAGTTCTAGGCAGAGAAAAAGACAATCAAGACTTTGGAGCAAGAAATGGCCTTTCTGTATTTTTCAGCAAGCACCAGCATCGAGAAATGGGTCCATGGTTCTGCAGAAGGCTGTACAACCTGAGCCTGGGCTGGGGGCGGGGCTTGTGCCACTTCTTCCCACTGGCAAATCTCCATCCTGAAGAAGCATGAGTGTATCTACCAACCTGACACTGGATACACATATATGAAGCCAAAAAATAGAAAACTATTACAGGAAGATGAGGCAAGTTTTTGACAATAGTGAGATACTTTAATACACCTCTCTCAGGAACTGCAATTATTGAGCAAATATAAAACAGCGAGTGTCAGCAAATTAGCAAGACTACTCCCAAGTCACAAGCAAATGCAAGGTGAACATTTAGAGAGTAAATTCAGGGAGAACAAAAGTTAGACTGTCAAAAGAGACGGAGAAGTAGGAAAAGTGAGAGGTACCAGCACAGACTGGGAAAGGAAGACAATTGTACAAATGCCGTACAGAGAACGGAGAGGCTTGGAGCAGCCGGGAGGGAAAGGAATGGGATTTTAGCCAGAGGGATGAAGGGAACCATCCAGGAGAGAGAAGAAGCTGAGGACAGCAAGAATGAACCCACAGCAGGTGTCACTTAGCTGACAAGCCTGGGTGAACATGCTAGCATGCAGAGGGGGACTACCCTGGGGAAAAGAAACACAACCACAAAACACGGGACTCCGATGACCACGATGCTCTGAGGAGGGAGTGGGCACACAGGAACAAAAGGCCAAGGCCATGGTCACCAATCTGGAGTTCATTTGAGAAAGAAAAAAATATGTTTTTTTCTTTTCCATCTCCAGGATGAAGTAAGGGTGAGACATTTAAGTGCAAACCTAAATAGAACGTGGATTCATGTATTATCAGCACCATGACACCAAAAAGAGAAAGAGTGGATGGTCTTGAAAAAGGAGTCTACAGTAATAACAGTTGAGTAATTTGAGATCACAGCATCTAGCAAAAGCACCTCTTCATTGAAAAATATTTCTTTGGGAAGCCTGTATTTCCCACGACATTTCACGGACCGTGGGTTTCAGGTGTCAAATGCCGGCTAAGCGAGAGCTCGGGGCTTGGAGTGCGATCCAGACTTAGGCACAGGCAGAAAAGCTTTCCCAGATCCTCCAAAATGCCCAGGGCCCTGGAGGCCAATTCCAGAGCGAGCTTTGGGAAGTAATGGATCCTGAACCCCACACAACACGCGAGGCAGGACAGAAAGGCTGCTGAGACAGTTCCGGACTCGAGTCGTAACCCTGACCTTTTAGACACATTAAACATCCCACGTAACGTGAAGCAATGGGCAGCTTCAGCTTCAGTTCGCGGGGGGAGAAACAAGGAAAGTACAAGCTGTTCTGATACCAGCTCCGCCTGCAAAACAAGTTCTCCTTCAGTCCCACTCAATCCGGATCGGATCAACACACTAAAAGGACAGCTCAACGCGCCATCCCCCTTCCAAGCCGGACACGGTCAGGGCAGTGTGGGAGTATGTATATTAAAAAAAAAATCCCTCAGATGGACATATTCTTAATAGGACACTGTTCTCACCGTATTGTCATGATACACTAAAATAGACTTTTTTTAAAAGAAAAATTGACATCTCAAACATCAGGGCTCCCGCCCCGGGAGTCCAGTGTGTACGGAAACAAAAACACACGCTCTGGACACTCCCCTAAAGTTCACACCTCCACGCACACAGAGACCAAGCAGCAGGACCACCGGGCGCTCGGCCAGCGCTGACAGGCGCCCAGCACCACCCCCTGTCCTCTCGCCGCCACTGACCGGGATGCAGGCCGCAGTCGCTCCGACCCTGGCCAGGCTCGCACGTCTCCACCCGCCGGCCTACAGGCAACTGAGCTTCCAACACAAGCCAGGACCCGGCGGCCAGGGCGCCACCCCTCCGTCCCGCCCCCAGCGGAAGTGACGCACGACCTCTCGGGCCCAGTCGCCCGCCGCTGGCCGCGGGCCTCCCTGTCAATCACCCGCTGGGTCCCCACTCCGAGGCATGCGCAATAGAGCTTGACGGGGGGGGGCGCCGGGCGGTGGCCCGCGGGAGACGTGCGTGAGGGCACGCGCGAGCGGGCGCGCACGCTAAGGGGCGTGGCCTGTGAGCGCGGGTCTGCAGTGCGTTAGTGGTTCGGTACTGGTGCCCGGCGGTTGGTTTGTTTTTCGATAGAGCGAAGCCTTCCTCTCCACGTGCTTCAAAACAGCTTACCTGGTCTTGATTTCCGAGCTGGGGCCTTGTTAGCGCCTTGAGGGAGATAAACTGCACGGCCAGGCCACCCACCCCCGCCCCGCTGCCGACCTGCCCTGGGTGTGGTGAGTTGGACAAAACGCAAGGATTGTCACATATTTTATCTTTGTAGGAAGTCAAAGTGTTGTTATCACAAGTGGCCACACAACTAACCCCCTTTTTCTTTAGTTACTTCGGACGTTTTCCGTAGAACAGATTCAACCAGCCTCTCCCCACCCCGCCTGTTTTTGAAAAGCTCGAAGAATAATTTTCACGTTTTTCAATAATGAAAGAAAAAAAAAAAAGGAAAGTATGTTTGGGATACAAGGCATTCAAACTTAAGCATCTATAAAAATAGGTTTTATTCAAACACAGCCCTGCCATTCCTTTTACATGTTTGTCAATGGCCATTTTTCAGGCTACAATGGTCAGATTCGTAGTTGCAACAGCCAGCTTTTTTACTCTGGTTACGTGACATTGCAATGAAGTCGAAGGGAGGCAAGTAGAAAAGTAATTTTGCCTCATCCTCAATTTAAAAATGTTCTCAACATTCTGGCCTCAGGCCCACGTGCTCACCTCGCATGGAAGCTAATGCTTCAGGCCTTTCTGGTTTCTGCATCGTCCCCAAGCGAGGGAAATACAGGACTTGCTGACCACAGGGGTGTCAGAAAATGCATGTAATTTTTAAAACAGATTTCTATTGCAAAGTCAGGTTTACAGATAGAAGGAGAGAAAGAAACATCTTCCAAGTGGCGGCAATAGCCAGAGCTGAGCTGATCTGAAGCCAGGAGCCAGGAACCTTTTCCAGGTCTCCCAAGTGGGTGCAGGGTGCCAAGGCTGCAGGCCATCCCTCGTTGCTTTCCTATTTTACAAGCAGGGAGCTGGATGGGAAGTGGAGCAGCCGGGACTTGAGCCAGTGGCCATATGATTTTCTAGCAAATGCAAGGTGAGGATTTAGCTACTAGGCTACCACACCGGAACCGAGTGCATGTAATTTTTCAGAAACGAGGTGGGGAAACCAGCTGTCGAGGAGGCTCTTGTGGCACAGCTGGCTGAATTGTGTGCATCATAACCCCTGGGAGAGCCCAGCAATACATCAGCCAGCCAAGTGACTGCATGGCTGCATTTCACTTGAGGAGTGGAAAAGTAACTTGAGTTCTTGAGAAGCATTTCTCCCCGTAAAGAAAAAGGTTATTCTGATGACATCTGTTAAATGGCGAGGAAGGCTACTTGCAAGTGTTGTGATGGGTGTCAGGACTGCTGCGGCAGGCAAGAACGGTCATTCTCAAGTCCAAACACAGCAAAGCCTGTTGAAGGGCATGGCGAGTACTCAGGAGATGGAAAATGATTAACACGGCATCAGTGGCATGGGACACTCTTGCTGAACAAATGCACCAACATTCTTGTTGAAGGCAGATGAGGGCAATTAGTTTATCTAAGGTGGGAGATTCTAAACTGACTTGATTCTTGCAAAACAATAAGACGTGTACGAGTGGGTCGAAGGCCTGGGCAGGAAGAGGGCTCAGAAAACCGTAACTCAAGTGCAGGCATCACCCTTTCTTCTCCTTCCTTTGCTAGTCGAGTTAGATTTGATCAGATCCCCACGTTTTCCTTTCATAGCAGAGACCTTCCAGTGACTCTCAGTTCTCCCATTGCCTCCCTTGCCCTCCCTGCCTCTCCCTTACCCGCCATCCAGCCTGTACTGAGTTGCGGAGTCTGATGTGTCTTGCTGCAGAATCGGGTCTGCCCTCTGCCCTGTCTTGCCATTGCCGTTGCTTTAGTTTAACCTGTCTTCAAAACTGGTTCTGCAGCCTGCAGCTTAACCTCCTACCCAGTCGGTCTCTTCTGTGCACCAAAGTAGTCTTTGGACATTACAGATCCACTCATGTTTTGCCGGAGATCAGCTCTGGCTGACTTCAGAGTTTGCAAAGGATGCATGGATCGGCAAGAATAGGGAGACGAGAAGAGACCTGGACCGCTACGGCATGATGCTCATAATGGACAACTCCGAAAAACTGCCTTCTTTATACAGAAATCATTACAGGCTTCTGTGCAAACATCCAGTTGTTTCATTTTTACTTCATGGATAAAAGAATGAGTACAAATACAATTCTAAAAAACATTATTATCATTTTACTTCAGAGAAATTCTCAACAAGCCATTACTCATCCAGATCTGCAGTCACTTGGCTGAAGCAGGGACTTCACCGTTGGCAGCACATGTGGTTACAATGTAACAGGTGTTTACTTATATCCAAAATCAATTTCCACTAAACCTAAGCTAATGTTACTTAAAATATCAAGAATGCAAAATTAAAAGGAAAGCTTATAAATGAAAGGAAATTATAAAGGCATATGTCACAGACCCTTTATTAAATCCTATAATCAATCATACACTAATTGCCATTACCTTCACCTAGTACTGATTCAGTTTTTTTGTTCGTTTGTTAGAGGGAGGTGAGAAGGATCAGGGCAACTCAGCCTTTCTACGAATGGAAGGCAAGAAACTTATCTTTTTAAACTATTTTCTTTCCTTAAATATAAATGCCAATATAAGATAGAAGCCATTTTTCTCCAGGGCTAACAATATTTGTCTCCCTTTAAGATGCCCCACATGCTTTATGTTTTACATGATGGGAAACCAAAATGTGTCATTCCATGTAATGTAGCATTCACTGCAGTTCAAGGCTGCACGGTAAATAAACTCTTTGTATCTCCACAATTGCCATCTGTTTCAAAGATATTATCAAGCCATTTCATAAGGAGGACATTACGCATCTTAGTGTAAGTTCCAGGACAAAGGTGGGCACATAATAAGACAACTGAGAATAATATAGGCTCAATTGTACTGTTGTATGCTTTTGGCTCTGTCTCATTGTCTTAAGTTGCTAAATACCCTTTTACCATAGCATGATTGATAAAATCATGTACCAGTTACAGAAATCATTTCACATTTGCAAAACAACAACAGGAGAATTCCAAGAAATATCAGAGTGTCTATACAGTGAGATGACACAGCAATGAGGTGATTAGAGAGACATTCTACTGGGCCTTGCCACTCAGCCAGGAACTCCTTGGAGCCTTGCTAACTGGGGAGCTGTGCTGGTTACACCCTTGAGCCCGTCTGTTTCAACAGCATGACTTCCCAGAGGTTGCTCTTGGTAACCTTCTAGGATGCTCACAGCAGGAGCAGTTTCCCAGTAGGGAAGGCCCCATAGCTCCCCTTCTGTGCTCACCTCCCATCCTGGGTCTCCTGTGTGCTGGTGGGGACTGTGGCCAGACTAGCTTGCCTTACCTTGGTATTCACCAATGGATGTTGCAGCCTGGCTTGGCTTGACCTGCTTCCAGTTCCAGCTCATACTAGTGGGTGCTGCAGCCTCACCCAGTCCAGCCAGCACCCCCAAGTCCTAGCCATAATGTAAACTGGCTGGCATTGTGGCCCAACCCGGTCTGCCCTGTACTCTGCCCTGGTTCTCACATCTGGTGCTATGAATTGAACCAGCCTGGCCTGCCACCAGACCTGACCCACACTTTTGCCAGCCAGTATTGTAATCTGGCTTGGTCTGGGTTGTTCCCAGCCTTGGTTTTTGTGCTTACCTGCAGAGACTGTGTCCTGACAGAGGTGTTCCCCAAGCTCCTCTATCTGGTCACTTCCAAGTGGCAGATTTTGTGCACACACTGGTGAATCTTTGGCCCAGCCTGACTTGGCCCACTTCCTGTCCTGGCAGGTACAGTGGCCTTAACTGATCAGCTCACACCCATTCTGGCTCTTACTGTTGGGGTACTACAGTCCAGGCACACCTGGTCCACCCCCAGATTCAGCTCTCATGCAGTTCATTGGGTACAGAGATGTAGCCCAGCCTGTCCTCCACATACCCTGGCTCTCATGAGCATCAGTGGGTACTGGAATCCCAACTCTCACTGGTGGGTACTACAGCCTAGTCCTGCCCAAGCCTGCCCCCATCCCTGGCTTTCATGCAAACCAATAGTTGTGATAGCCTAGCCTAACTTGTCATAGTCTAGGTTAGTGTCATGACCCATCCTGGCTCCTGCGCATGCCAGTGTGCTATGGTTTGGCCTGGCCCTGCCTGGTCTTCCCCCTACGTAGCCAACCCATGTACCTGCTGCCCAGCCTGACCAACACTCAGCTCTGTTTCATGTGTTCACTAGCAGGAGTGATGGCCCACCAGGCGAGTTCCCCAAGTTCCCCACCAGGCCCACTCACAGACCCAAATCTCATGTGTGTCAGCAGCTGTTAAGCCGTTACCTGGCAGTCTTTCCCCCAGCGGCTGTGCATGCTGGTGGGTGTTGCAGCCTAGGATGCCCACCCCAATTTTTGGGTGTGCCTGTGGGTACTACAGCCTGGACCAGCCTGGACTGGTCCTAACCCCAGTTCCCATGAGTGTTGTTGAGTTTCATGGTCATGCCTAGCTTAGCCTGTCACCACCCTAGTACTTGAGCAAACTAGCTGGTATGGCAGTCCCACAGGGGTGAGCCCACAAAGTCCCCCAAGATCTGTTTTCAGTCCCAGTTCTCTCGTGAGCTGGTTAGTGTTAAGGCCTAGCCTGACATGGTCCACCCCTGCCCGCACACTCACTGGCTGGTCCTGTGGTGGAGCCCCGTCAGGCAGGTTCCCAA